ATTTAAATTAATCCGGAAGTCCCTTGTCAATGCATACAAAGGTCAGCAAGTGGCGTCGTAGTCAGCTCAGGTCAGGTCACAAAAGGAGAGAAACTACAGGGATTCAGTCACTGACATGACCTGTGTGTACCTGCGTATGACATTTTCGAGTGTGTATCCGGTATGGTGTGCGTACCATCTTCGCCAGCATGGATATATAATGAAATTAGGTGTAAGACTATGTTATTTGACTTCTTATAGTGCAACCGTAGACTGTTATCACTGTAGTCAAGAGAACAAAAATTAATAAAAAAAATAAATGAATTCATCTTCACAGTACTATTTTGTCATAGTAGCGTTAATGTGGAATAAAGATTTTTTTTTTTCGCTGTGAATGGATCTGATCATTTTGATGGCTATTTTGCCTGCATCTCCGTACAAGACCAGCAACAACAAAACAAAAGAAGGAAGAAACTATTGCATTATTTTGGGTGAGAGTCCCCCATCTCGAACAAACCAAAAACAAAACAAAAAACTAAAAAAACACATATATTAGACGTTTAAAATATCAAATAAATTAATTCTAAGACCTAAACAAATAAATCGTAGCTAAAGAGATCAGTGTCGCGACGTGTTGCCAGATGAACGCGCGTCCCGAGACCTCTGTTGCTGTATGTGAACGAGGCCGATTTTTTCTGAAATAAACACAGGCGGTGGATGGCGGGTCGCCGCTTCCTGGCGCTGCTCTCCCACTCTCTCCGTGCGGCGGTTCGCTCTCCCGAACCGCTCGTACGATGACTCTGGCGTTCGTCTGGCGCGAATCGTGGCCTGTGAAGCCGGTTCCGTGTCTTCGTCCAGGTCCGTCGCCATTTTTTTTTTTTTTTTGTGTTGGTGAGCTGCCTGACGTTTTTTCCTCTTGGTTGGTGAACTGATACGATATTTTCGTTTCTCTTCGAGGTTTTAGGCAAAATTATTTTTCATATCGGTGTATCACCACTGATTTTTTTTTCTTCTTCCTATTGGTGAGTCGCCATTTCGAATCCCACGTGCAAGTGTGCGAGTCACCAAAGGCGCCCAAAGACTCGCGAATTCGGAATCTCGGAAGGCGAGTCAAGAGGGCGAGTCACTTGCCTCGGCCGTTTGTGGTCCTCAACAAGCCTGTCTAGTAGAGTTGGTGTCATCCATTAGGAATTTCAAGAGGCCGTATTCCTGACAACCCAAGGTTAATGCATTTACATCTTTAACGATGATGTATGTATTGTATATTGCTTTTCATACCTTCTCTTGTGTTGAAGACATAGATGCTAACTTTATTTATTGTCCACGTATGTTACTGCTACAGATTGCACCCGGTTACACATTAAAAATTCTATATATATATATAAAATTGTTAAGACACGCAAGTTTGACTTGGGGATCAGGCTTGTCCAAGGAGTCATTATGGTCTCTGACGTCATACCTGTGACGTCACAAACCAGGCGCACCAATCGGAGCCATCGTTGTCTCAGATATCATATATTTGACGTCATAATTCAGGGGCGCCTGTCGGTAAGCCCTTGTGATTTCTGGTGTCATTTATATGACATCACAAATCTGGCGCACCAATCGGAGTCATGGTCTCTGACGTCATTCATATGACGTCATAGACCAGGCGCACCAATCGGGAATTTTGTATAAAGCTATATATCCTTTGTACTCGCAGCCATGTTGTGTGCTGTTGCATAATGAAAGGTAGATTTTTCAGCAGTACCCCAAGACTCAGCCATTATTTTATCCTTATTTTTGTGTGTGTGTCATAGTCATAAGAAAAGAAACTGGTACGTACCAACTGCTAGCTAGTAATACTTTTGTTTACGAAAAAATGCTCTCTATATGACAAATTGTGTGAATGACTCCTTCTCATGATCATGTCTGATAATTTAAAGATTTAAAAAAATGAGAATTAATTCATAGAGTATGAATGCCAAGGCAGATTTAGAGGCCTTCTCTTTGCATATTATTCAAGGGAAACTGGCTCGTTTTTCGCTCCATTTATATGACACGTGTAACGGTTATTTTGGAAAAAGAACAGGTATATTTTTCTTTGGTAATGAAGTGGTTTGGACGCTCCAATTAACAAGCATCCACATGGATTCAGTGCCATGGGGGTTCCGGACGCGTTCTTCGCTATCCACACGCACACACATACACACACACAAACACACACACACACACACACACACACACACACACACACACACACACACACACACACACACACACACACACACACACACACACACACACACACACGCACACACGCACACACACACATTCACACACATACCCACAAACACACACACACACACACACACACACACACACACACACACACACACACAACACACACACACACACACACACACACACAACACACACACACACACACACACACACACACACACACACACACACACACACAACACACACACACACACACACACACACACACACACACACACACACACGCACACACACACACACATACCACACACACACACACACACACACACACACACACACACACACACACGACACACACACCACACACACACACACACACACACACACCACACACACACACACACACACACACACACACACACACACACACACACACACACACACACACACACACACACACACACTCACACACACACACACACACACACACACTTGTTTTTTAAGTAGCCCAGATGTCTTCTTTTCGCGAGCCAGTTTCCCTGTCAATGGAAGAATTCACAAATCGATGTCCTGTAGCACTCAATCTGTCATGTATTACGTGTACACAAAATGCTCATCGCTATTGATTCCTTCAATAGCGGTAATTATCGTACCTCACTGTTTGTGAATTCTGACAACACTGGAAGTCTCATCACCGAGGTGTAAATTATTGTACCCTCTGTTGACATTCGTACTTTTTTCACTCCATCGTTTCTTTTATTTTTTTTTATTAAATCATTCCTTTATGTCTTTCTTATGATTATTTATTTGTTAATTTCAATTCTATTTTATTGTCTTTTTCTTAGATTTGGTTTCTAATATATCTTTGTAGATTTACTGTCACCTAATCCTAATTCATCGAAGGTCTGGCATCGGCATGATTATAATCCAGCAAAAGGAAAACACAATCCTAAATATTTGTATTGGAGGTGATTTTATGAAATTTCCTACATATCTGCGTACCGATGGAACCTGTTTCCTGATTGGCTCTGTCAGTGTCCGAGTAACCTAATTTTACTTAGTTTTACTCGTGTTCAAAGTGATTTTTTGACGAAT